GAGAGAGAGAGAGAGAGAGAGAGATTTTGTACCAATATGTAGAATCCGGAGAACACAATGCCAGCAGCACCAGCTGTAGCGCAAACATAGCTGAAACTGTAGAGTTGCTTGTTGATGGGAATAGCTATAAATGACCAAATATGGTTACTATTTATTAATCAACTCTACAAAATTATACTTCCAATGCAAGAATTAATTAACAAGAATTGTTACAGATATCACCATCCGTAAAATGGAGAATTAAGGCGAGCGTCAGCAGAACAAGCGCCATCGATACCCATTGTTTGAGGCGTTCTACATGACCCTGCAAGGTACATACATATACTTTGATCGAAAACAAAAAAAAAAATATATAAAGAAAAAAAAAAAAAAGTTTGACCCTGGCCTCTAATTTTCTCAATCAAAACACTTGATGCTTATTTATTTCTACAAGGAAATTATTATACCTTGAAATGAATCAGAACATGGCCGTAATGGACTCCAATGGTACCCGAGATTATTGCTGAAATTGAGCTGGAAGCAAAATCCAAAACCATGCCAAGCTTGTTTAAAATTCAAGATTTATTCAATGGGGAAACGGCATTATTATTGAAAAATTAGAGAGCAAAAAAACCTAAGCAGCCCTTCTGGTTCAAATGGAGCTCGACACCAAGTAGGTGCACCCTCACGGAGTGGTCCAGCCCCTGGAGAACTCAGAGTACAAGCCTGCAAGTTTAAATTATAAGAAGTACAATGAACAGCAAATATAATTAAAACATTGATCATTCTTCCTTCGAAAGTGATATTTCGGCGTAAATACAAAAACGACCCCAGTTTACAGCTTAAGTGCCTAAAACTCCACCAGTCTTTGTAATTTTAATACATGAACATAATTTTGTTTTCATTTTTTCTGACCTTTAACCGTCTCCAAGCCGGTTTCTCATATAGATGATTAATACCCCAAACTTGTCTATCCACATAACCAACTGCGTTGCACGCAGGTCCCAAGTGCCCTCTCATCCCACATTTTACCTGTAATAAGTTAAACATAATTCAACCTCTTTGTACTTAACCAGAAAGTTACTGCTGTAGTAAGATTCTTAGCTTATTACAGTGTATTTTTGGGGCCTGTAATCGTGGTACACCACGAAACTCCAATCCGGTACGTAAAGAGAGAATATTGTGACCATGTAGATCACAAATGCAACAAATCCGCCGAACCTGAAAACGCAAAAATTAAATTGATGCAAATTTAAATATAGTTTTCCTAAAGGGTAAAAGAGGCATTGGGGAAAGTTGTTTACCATTGCCATTTGTAGGCAGTGAAAATCGAGAAATGATCTGGTTCTAGGCTAGTCGACCTGAGCTTGGTGGTCAGAGTTTCTATTAAAGCCACAACAAAGTACACCAAAGCTATTCGCTGCTTGGACACACACGCAATATAAATTATAAGACGCAAGCAAAGAGTCTGGTTAAGGTTCTTACATTAAATAAAGCGAAGCTTCTTCTGACCTGGAGAATGCCGAACCATCGGATTTTCTTCAAGTCGACTCCATAAGTTAAATGATCCGGTGCATGAGAATAACCTCCTGCCAAGTGAAAAATGAGCATCGATAACTAATAAACATCATAATCGAGCCTGGCTAAGTTGCAAGCGTGTTTGGAGACTATCAAATTAACAATTTATACCTCAATATCAAACCTTGCCTTCAATTAAATGTTATGGAAATATATCATAAAATACCTTGCAGCAAAATTCCCCAAAAGAGAAGCTTCAACGTCCTCAGAGTAATCTTTCTTATTGCGAAATCGAACCTTGAAATCCTCTGAAGGTTTAACAATGATGGATAATTCTTTCAGCACACCAATTCAACAAACTTTTACATTCTAAAAAATACAAAAAATGATTACTTTATTTCATTTTATGGTATTTTGAGGGAAAATGGCTGAAGATCAATAACAGAGAAAGAACCTTCAAGGCAAGGGCAATGGCTACCCCCACAATGAAGAGGAAAAATGGCATCACAAAATCAGCCAACGTGCACCCGTCCCACGGCGAATGCTCCATCACCGCTGGACAAACCGACCCAGCATCATCCACAAGTATCATCAACTACAATGATTACAATATCATTACCTCAAGGTAGTTGTTCGAAAGACTAACGGTTAGACGACCATATTTGTACACAAATATGCACTTCCAAACTGAAGAATTCGGCTACCATTATTACAGAAAACAAATATTTCTTAGTTGAGCTTATTATTTACTTCTTGAAAATTAGTTGAGGTATGCAAATTGGATAAAACTGAAGAAAATGTTACTTGAGAATGTAAGTACAACTGGAATAGCTTTGGGTACCACAATTGTGAAACCCCTGAAGGCGTCCAAGGTCGCTACTCGCTTGGTCCTCTGCTTCGCCGACGGCGGCTCCTTCGGCGGGTCGGCCGGGGCAGCTGTCGGCGTCGTACCCTTCTGCTCGGATTCGTGGGTAATGTCGATTTTGCTCTGGTGGCCGCTGGCTGAAAATCCCTCCTCCAGCTTCCATGGATCTTGCATCATAGAACTTGCAGTGCCCTAAATTTGCTGAATTTTTGCAGCTCAATTATTAGCTTGCAAATGAGGGTTTTTTTTTTTTTTTTTCCTTGTGTGTGTGTGATTATTAAATGTTTGTCTTTGGCAGCATAAGTACAGACGCCGGCCATGATTTTGCTGACGTAGCAACCGGACGGGGGCTGAGGGCCACCGGAAAAGGAAAACATTCATTGCCATGAGACCTCAGTTTTGTCTCATTAGTGAAGAGTGAAGACAAAATCTCTGGAAATATTTCTGATTTGAGGTGTACTTAACAAAAATCAAGATTCAAAACAAGAGAAGTTCTAGAATACTGTTTTTGTATATTATTTGTAAATGATCGTGGATGGTTCTACATGGATGGCTCCATAAAAAAACTGATAGACATATATATATTTGTTTGGCAAAAATGTGATAATAATATAGTGACAACAATTATACAGCACTCATTCATAGTTTAAACTAATAATGTACACATCATTAAAGGGTTATTGTTTGCGTATTATAACCAGTTAATTGATTGTATAATTTTTTATATTTTTTAACTCATAATTTAATTCAAATTTAGGTGTTATCAATGCAAAAAACATCATTCAATCATCCTCGCCCATCACGTTCATTTTAATTTATTATTTATCAACTTACATATTATAACTACTTATTGATACGTAAATTGCTCCGAAACAGGATTAAACCAACAACAGCAGGAACAATTTTTCACCTTTACGAGGACCTATAATATCCTGAGAAGGGATATCGGCGAAAAAACCTCAAACGGTCTGTACTTGCTCGTGAGAATAATAAAATTGTATGCAGTAAGTATAAATATGAAAGTAAAACCTTGTCACTCTTTATATACACAAGATATCTTGCAGTCTAAGTAGAGTCTTTGCTAGGAAAAAGATTCTATCATATCTTCTTTACTAACTTAAAACGTCTCTGAGATTTTTAGACTCCTCAACGAGATATACTTTTCATCCTGGGTAGAATTTTGTTCCTCTTACCATATGACTATTAGGTCCGGAGAGTGCCCCTCGACCACGTGACCTAGTTGCAGGGCGGGCTCCAGGGGGAGGCAACCTAGGCATGGGCTTAGGGCCTCCCATTTATTTGGGGCCTCATATTTTTTTTTTAATATTATGTATTTGTGTTGAGTTTTGTCTATCTACATAAATGAGGCCTCATTATTTTTTTAATATTATATATTTGTATTGGATTTTGTTTATTTACACAATCAAAAGAAGGGGTTAATGGCTAAATATAGACTTAAATCATTACACAAATGAAGGAGCTAATGGCAAAATATGTAGTTTGTGTGGAAAATTGAGGCCCTAAATATTTCATTTGTTTTCGTATGATGTTCGGTCAGAACAAGTTGTGTGAAAATAAATTTTCATTTGTAGTGATATGATTTTTATTTTCTTGTCTTTAGTGTTCTCGTGATTGGTTGATTGTAATTTATTAAAGATTTTTGTAAACCGGAGGTAATTTATCAATTTCAAGTTCAAGAAAAACAAGATTTTTTTTTCAATTATTTATTTATTTATTTATTTAATAGTCTCGTTAAAATTATGATTCTATCTGCGAATAGCCCTAATTACCACGTAAGTTCAAATCGAGAAAATTCGAAAAGAAAAAACTTGCCTAGGGCCTCCGAATTTTTGGAGACGGCCCTGCCTAGTTGTCATGGGATCTAACTAGGTTGAACCCCCGACCTTTACATATGCGACCTACAGGTCGTAACATCCCTCCATCTGTCCGAGCTCCTAGAGGAGCTCGACCTCTATGTTTTACAACCAGGTCGACACGTACCCTGAGCTGCCTAAATGAGCTCCCTGACAAGGTCAAACACTAATACTCGAGATGAAACTCCCTTGAATCGACCATACTCGAGTTGACCACTTAAACCGATTCGCAGAGCTATTTTGGGTTTCTATATTATCTATCATTTCTAATAACTCGTTTCATACTTTTATATCATACCAATTTTAATCGTTACACTTTAAATTATATTAAAATATAAAATCAAAAATCACACTCAATCCTTCACTTAATCAGTTTTATTTAAAATCAACTCACTTTATCTAATGTATTCAATTAAACCCTTAAAAGACATCAAGATCAACTCCACATAGCTCTAAAAAACAAGGTATCACATTTTGGACAAAAATGATTATTTGAACAAATGAATCAAATTAACCAAGGTAGCACAATTTAACTTTTCAACTTTTAGCTTTCATCTACCTTTTAGCTACATTTACCAAATAGACTTGAAAAAAGGCTAAAGGTGGCATCTATACTACTTTCAAAAGAAAAATAAAAAAATAAATAAAATGTGTAGTTAATCTAAATTAATTCCAATTAAGCATACAAATGCATTTTTTTTGTTTAAATTTACTTTCATTGTCTTCTATAAACTATTTTAGATCATTTTTTTTTAGATTATATTAAATTTATTACATTATATCTATATTATATTAAAAATAAATTTAAATCAATCTTAAGTTTATGATCTAAGTTTATACTAAATCAAAAAAAAAAAAAAAAAAAAAAAAAAAAAAAAAAAAAAAAAAAAAAAAAAAAAAAAAAAAAAAAAAAAAAAAAAAAAAAAA